TCCGATCTCAAATATTTAGACTCGCTGTTTTAATTCCATCTTCGAGCAGTCAAATAAAAACGAGGTGATCAACCAAAACAATCACATCTGGCCAATCACGACGCGCGTTCGAATTAGTCCTATTCAATGAACCAATCAGAGCTTACCGCGCAGCATTAAGCTTGGAACGGGTGCCAAGCGCGGGAAAAGTAGAAGTACCCTATCCAAGATTGGTTTCAGTTTTGCATCTGATTGGCTGAAAAAAGTTGGTATACTCATTGGTTAGAAGGACATGCCTCGTGAAATTTGCGTGCACGCGTTCACGTAAGTTGCATCGTGCAATGCAAATTCATCGCATAACAGTGGTGAACGCTTAAGTAAGCAGTGTAGGGCCATTTCCGGTAATTTTCGCGAGTTAACAATGCTACATTAAAAAGATCGGTCTTTATTGTCTAGGTAACAAGCAATCGCCTTTTAATTTTAGCTTAGTGACGCGATTGAAGTCTGGCGTCGTTAAAGAGTTTAATGGTCCGACCTCTTTGAACAAAAACGTTGCTATTTCCACCATGTTTGTTTGGACGTTGTTTTGGAGGGTAATAACATATAAGATATTAATACGGGCAACACGCAAACTGAGAAGAAACAAGCATATTCTGTGTCCAAAAATAACTAAACAGTTATGACAGCTTTTACAATACAGCTCTCGAAGTTTGAAGCACCAAAGAGTTGTCTTCAACGAGTTTCTTCGTAATGCGAGCCTAGCTGACCGTGGGAAAATTCCTTATTCTTAATCACCAAAAATTATCTTTAGAAAGACTTTTTTAGTTCCTGAATTAAAGGGATTAATCTTTTACTTGTGTTAAAGAAATTAATGGCTATACCTAATTTCAGGTAATTACAGTCTTCTGTCGTCACGAAGAGATGGACAAGCAATCGTTTATTTATTGAGAAAATGTCCTGGCCTTTTCGCACGCAAGTTGGTTTGGAAAGAAAATCAGATTAGTCACGAAAAACTTGAGCTGTTAGGCCGTCATGCTATGAATTTCGAAATTCTTCACGGCTGAACTGTGACAACAGGTGCGCAAATTGTGCGTTTCCTTCGGAGAGACTGATGACGTAAACAGAATCCTATACGTAGAGGAAGACACGGCTGAATGGTTCGGAAGAACACACCTCGCAATATTCAGCGGTTTGTCTTAGTGTTTTGCATCAACAATTTATTTGTCTAGATTATTCTGTTGAATAGCCTGCATTTTTCGCTTTTGATGTCATTCCACCAAGATAGAGACCCTCTGAGTTTATCGCGAGTCTCACACTCGCCATTATCGACATCTACAAGACTTTCGTCCCAGAACTACCTCCGATTGTAGGAGAACTAATATTGTAAAACTGTGAGTAGAACATTTTTGACTTAAATTTTCAATTATTGTATTTGTTTTTAGTAAGGATAAGTTAAATTCATGTTTGTAATAGAGGTTTAAATTACCCCCACCAAATTTCAGTCGAGATCGATCTTTTTATAAAATTGAAAACGACTATCAGCTGTTGTGAGTTCCAGCTCAACACATACTGTCTGATAGTGCACGAGTAGCTCAGCCAATCAGATTGCAGAATTTGCATTAGTATACTAGATCGAAGCATTCTACTAAAACAGAATGATAGTGAGTAGTGTAGCCAATCAGAGAACAGCATTCGTGAAAGAGCGTTAGTAGATTTATACTAATTGATTATAACAGAAGCATATCGATGCTTCTGATTATGATAACCGATGACAGTGCAACAACATTGATGACAAGGAAATTACAACACATTAAGAACTTTTTTCTGAGTCTGGTTTCCTTTCCTTGTGCTCTCTTTTATTTATAAAAATAACTTTAAATAACTAATAGGGGCTAACTCTTTACGGTTCTTTTAGCCTCTAGGCTCTTTTTTTATAAGAATTATATTCTATCTTTCTTATTACACTCTCTTATTAATCAACTTCTAGTGTAGTCAATGTGCGAAGTTAATATCTTCCATGTAAATGTTTTCTTCCGAGCCAATAAAGATTATTGTTATTGTTGTGCATGATAGTTGGTGGTCAAACGGAAGCCCGTGCTACAACTATTATCATCAACTGTCATCGACTATCATGCGCCGTTTGGCCACTGAGGGTTTTAGGCCAGAGAAGCAGTGCCACACAGGAACAACAGGAACAACCTCTCTGAATTCCGACGCACTGCACAGGGCTTCGGTACAGACACGATCTTCACCAGAGGAACAGAAGGAATATTATCATTACCCACGAAACGAACTATATAAATAAATGATTCCATAGCACATTTTATTCTCTGATCCAGGCTTAACAACAATATAGTTGCAAACCGTGAAGGTAAATCGGAAAGACACAAATATCTTAATATAAAAGTTTGTCTGAGTGGAGTGAAGCGCTCGTCATTAATCGTGATAAACTCATTTAAAATGGTCGTCCGGGCATGTTTTTCTTCATAAGTCCGATCTCAAATATTTAGACTCGCTGTTTTAATTCCATCTTCGAGCAGTCAAATAAAAACGAGGTGATCAACCAAAACAATCACATCTGGCCAATCACGACGCGCGTTCGAATTAGTCCTATTCAATGAACCAATCAGAGCTTACCGCGCAGCATTAAGCTTGGAACGGGTGCCAAGCGCGGGAAAAGTAGAAGTACCCTATCCAAGATTGGTTTCAGTTTTGCATCTGATTGGCTGAAAAAAGTTGGTATACTCATTGGTTAGAAGGACATGCCTCGTGAAATTTGCGTGCACGCGTTCACGTAAGTTGCATCGTGCAATGCAAATTCATCGCATAACAGTGGTGAACGCTTAAGTAAGCAGTGTAGGGCCATTTCCGGTAATTTTCGCGAGTTAACAATGCTACATTAAAAAGATCGGTCTTTATTGTCTAGGTAACAAGCAATCGCCTTTTAATTTTAGCTTAGTGACGCGATTGAAGTCTGGCGTCGTTAAAGAGTTTAATGGTCCGACCTCTTTGAACAAAAACGTTGCTATTTCCACCATGTTTGTTTGGACGTTGTTTTGGAGGGTAATAACATATAAGATATTAATACGGGCAACACGCAAACTGAGAAGAAACAAGCATATTCTGTGTCCAAAAATAACTAAACAGTTATGACAGCTTTTACAATACAGCTCTCGAAGTTTGAAGCACCAAAGAGTTGTCTTCAACGAGTTTCTTCGTAATGCGAGCCTAGCTGACCGTGGGAAAATTCCTTATTCTTAATCACCAAAAATTATCTTTAGAAAGACTTTTTTAGTTCCTGAATTAAAGGGATTAATCTTTTACTTGTGTTAAAGAAATTAATGGCTATACCTAATTTCAGGTAATTACAGTCTTCTGTCGTCACGAAGAGATGGACAAGCAATCGTTTATTTATTGAGAAAATGTCCTGGCCTTTTCGCACGCAAGTTGGTTTGGAAAGAAAATCAGATTAGTCACGAAAAACTTGAGCTGTTAGGCCGTCATGCTATGAATTTCGAAATTCTTCACGGCTGAACTGTGACAACAGGTGCGCAAATTGTGCGTTTCCTTCGGAGAGACTGATGACGTAAACAGAATCCTATACGTAGAGGAAGACACGGCTGAATGGTTCGGAAGAACACACCTCGCAATATTCAGCGGTTTGTCTTAGTGTTTTGCATCAACAATTTATTTGTCTAGATTATTCTGTTGAATAGCCTGCATTTTTCGCTTTTGATGTCATTCCACCAAGATAGAGACCCTCTGAGTTTATCGCGAGTCTCACACTCGCCATTATCGACATCTACAAGACTTTCGTCCCAGAACTACCTCCGATTGTAGGAGAACTAATATTGTAAAACTGTGAGTAGAACATTTTTGACTTAAATTTTCAATTATTGTATTTGTTTTTAGTAAGGATAAGTTAAATTCATGTTTGTAATAGAGGTTTAAATTACCCCCACCAAATTTCAGTCGAGATCGATCTTTTTATAAAATTGAAAACGACTATCAGCTGTTGTGAGTTCCAGCTCAACACATACTGTAGACTTCTTTAGCACTTGTTCTTTTTAACTTAACTGTGTACTTAATTTCCATTCCAAAGTTGAAAGTTGCATTTCGCAGTTACACAGATTATTCGCTTGAGATGTTTCCAAACAAAGGCAACTGATATAACTTATAATCTTCATGTCAGTCAGTTTCACTGCGTTACTTTAGGAGAGCAGCAAGGTTAAAGTTAAAGAAAAGTTAAAGAAATTTGTCAACCCTTTAGCTTAACAAATTCAGTTCTTTCCCTCTCAGCCCTTTCCAGTCTGTTTCACACAGACTCCCAGGGCTTGATATTTTTCAATGTTCAATTAATTCTCAACATTCATCATAGAAGAAAATAATTTTTTGGGGGGGAGCGGGAGAAGTAAGGGGAGGGGGGGGGGCACAGGATCCCTTTCGAGTTTGCATGCAATACGAGTCGCTAGTTCACCGAGCTTATAAGAAAATGTTACTGATCAGCAATGCAAATTGCATTTACAATTTTCTGAACCCCCGCTAGAAAGAATCTGGCACTCGTTAAATAAACTTCACGAGTAAATATTCAAAGTACATGTTTTGAAACGTATTGTACAGGAAAAAAAATTGATCTTTAGCGATATTTCTTTTAAAATTTGTTCTTTTTCACCTATTTCTCTCCAGAGGATGCCTTTGACTTTGACACTGCACCAAAACTGTATCGTTATTTTTAGACGTTCGCGGGTCAAAACAGTAAAATTTTACCAAGTTTGAGGCTCGAGGCGACATTTATTGGTTTCATTAGCGGGAAAGCAATTGAATATTGAGCTCTGAGAATCTTGATTGTCTCTCCGATTCCAGCGATATCAATATCGTGACGGAAAACCCATTAACTGCGCTACCGCTCTCCATATAAGGAGGCGTCAATTGATATTTGTCACTTTCAAAATCCCACCGGGACTTTTCGAAGCCATTGAAGTGCAGTCGAGCAAGTCGTGCTGCGCATCAGAGATGTAAATTACTTGTATACATATTTCAAGCCAGCGTTTTAAATTCTACATTGTTTTCACGGGTGTTTTATCTTGTCAAATATGTAGAGGGTGTGTACACATCGAAGTAAGGCGGACGAAAAAAAGAACTTTTGCCGAAGAAGGAGGGCTACAGGAGTGCTGACATAGAATGACTACCACGATCGATCGAGAGCAGAGCAGTATCAAGAGCCCGAGAAGTCCGTCCAAGGCGAACACTGGACAGTTCAGCTTCAAGGGATCTTTATACGTGGCTCGTAATGAGAAAGACTGGATTGAAATTCAGAAGAACACGTTTACAAATTGGTGTAATGTGCAAATCCAACCATACGGTGTGCAGATTACCGGAGACTTAGCCGATGCGTTTGGAGACGGATTAACTCTAGTGTACCTGGTTGAGTCGGTGTCGACCAAGAAAGTCGGCCGATACAACAAGAATCCCAAACTCTATGCACAGAAACTGGAAAATATCACAACCGCGCTGAAACTGCTGGAAAGTGACGGCATTAAGCTTGTGAATATAGGTAAGATGCTCAAATGTTTCGTGACACGACGAGACGTCTAATAAACTATCCCACGACAGTTTTATGACCTTTTCCTGTTCTTCACACTGTTTCTAAATACCGAGCAGCGTTAAATAAACATAACGGTACAATGTGTATTATTAAGGAGAAAGCCACCTAAAGATACATAAGAAAGCCATTATAATCATCCAGTACATGAAACAGAACTTAAGCTGCTCGCGATTAATTTCCGCGTGCATTCCTCGATTCAAGGCTATCGCTGTGCAATGTGTCTTGAGATCACGCAATAATCGGGTTATTTCGTTCATAAGAGATATTTTGAGAGCTGAGAAATTTCAAAGCTTCTCTTAGACACAGGGCAATTTTTTTGACCCCCAAGAACAACTAATAATGTCCGTGCTTCGATAACGAGCACGATCGCTTTGAAGTTTGTCCTTCTGCAGACGATATTGCGCGTGAACTGATCGCACGCAAAGCGAAAACGTAAATAGATAAATGATAATACATTAGCGACTTGAACAGCAAATCTCTGGAGAATCTGCTTTAGGAGAACGACCCGACCATGACACTAAGTTCTATTGTGGTCGAACTACTTTAAAAACTTTCATTTTATGCTCGAGGCATTAAATATTTATTATATAGGTCTACAAGTTTCACCATTAGTAATGTTTACTTTTCGTTTTCGGCCAAACCCATATTTCCAGAGCTCTTTTTCTTTCGACTTTTATTTACAAAAACCGCTGACAAGGGAGCTACAAAAAGACTACGGTAATCAGTTAAGAATTTATGTTTCAGAGGGAGGTGAAAACAATTAAAGGTAATTTATGTGCGGTTTCGTCGTGCAGGTATTAATTTCATTCCATAAATTTTCGTTGCATTTGCCCAATCTTTTCCGTTTACGTTTTAGCGGTCATAAACCTCCTTCCGTGGGCAAAAATGCATTAAGAAGATAGTTTTTCTTGCTTTCTTTTTTCACTGAATATATCGATCAGCTTGCAGTATTGAAACATGTTTACCTTGACGATCGATTTTCGCAGCTTGTTATTTTTATAAGCATCATCAGGCGCCAAGGAAATATATAAGCTTACATTTTGATAACAGACCATTTATAGGGTACCATTGTTTCGACATTTAACCAAACTATCAAATTGGAGACTATTGGTTTCTCACTTGATATCTTTTGTCTTTTATTAAACACATGCAAGACGTACAATCGACATATCTTGAATACTGCACTTTCTTCACGGCGAGTACAAACAAAGGGTGGCGCTTTCTGTAGATGGAACCACAACTTCCTTTCCTTACCTTTGGCAATTTAAATAAAGTTAATTTATCTCTAAAAAGCCCCAAAACGTATTTGATATTGCACCAGACGGGACTTAAGAGATATTGGCTCAACTATAAAACAAATTTGTCTTTCTATTTCAGTTGCAAATTAGGAAAATTAGACCTCCTGTAATTTCGCTAGAAAAACGCAGTCAAACGTGTATTCTAAGCCGTCACCTTGGGGATTGGGTTAAGGCCGCTAAATACAGGTGGACCGTTTATTCGCTAAACTTCGTGGTAGTACATCTTCACGTATATTGTCGTTGTTTCTTGCAGATATTGTTCGCCGTGGTTACAAGTAACCCGCTCTAAAGTATAGCTAAAAAAGCGCAGCGTAGAATTGTCTTGTTCT